TCAAGAGGTGAGTGACCAATATCTAACTGTAACTTTTGAAGAGGATAAAACGGTAATTAATCATTGTATAAAGTACACCTGAACCTAGAATAATTTGCCCATTTCCCATCCCTACTCTCTAGCTGTCACCAGGGCTGCATCTTTATCTTATTCCAGAAAGGACAGCTACAGGTAGTCAAAACAAATGAGCCTGGTGTTACATTATAAATTTTGTACAATATATAATATACACAAAACTTAATGATAGTTGAATACACAAATTTAACTGAAGATAATATGATATTCAGCAAAGAATTATGGATCAAGAATTCCAGGTTTCCCGGTCTGGCCTTGAATGCAGTGGCTAAACAGTATTTGGTAGGAGCTGGATACCACATGATGGACCATAATTTAAATCGTGGCTCTTAGTGACTTGAAACATACTCCAGGTGTGTGTGCACATGTGCCCAGGACTCTGATGGGAAGGAAGGATTGAGGAAAGAGGATTGCAGTGTGACCAGGTCCTGTAGGGGGTGCTTGCTCTCTCTCTCTCTCTCTCTCTCTCTCTCTCTCTATCTAGCATTGAAAAAAAAAAAAATCCAGGTCTGAAATCTAGTTACCGTACTTATCTGCTTCGTGACCTTGGGTAATTCGTTTCCATTCTGGGCTTCACTTTCTACTCATATAAAACAATGTCTTAGGTTTTATTTCTAGGGCTCCTTTGAAATCAGAGTCCATGATTCTAGGTGGAGGTTTTAGGTTACTAACAAAAGTATCTTATTTTCCCAGACTGTTATGTTTCAATGGACCAAGACAGGACAATTCTAAGGGGCCACTCACCTCCAGAGCTCCCTGTGCAGAGCAGACAGCTCAGGTCATGGGACCTACACTGCGGCTTGAATTCTCCCTTGACCCACTTTTTCCTTCTCCCTTTTCCTTGCACAGGCATTGATCCAAAAGGTGTTCCGTAGTAAACATCCTGAACACTAAACTTTATCTTAAGAGTCTGCTTCTGGGATAAACCATTTTATCTCGGGGAGAAAACCTAGCTAAGTGATCCACAAGTTTTAAAACTTTACATTCATGGCTGGTTCTTTCTGAATGTTCCAAACCAGCTCTAGCTTTTTATACATATTTCTTAAGATTTTTTTTTTTTCAATAGGGCACATGCACACTCCAGAGAGAAGCAGAGAGAAGGAAAGTAAGAAACCACTCCCCCAGAAGGGATGGCCACACCACAATTCCTTCTTCTCTATTTTCCTCTAGAGATCTTGGGCATGCATGCACATGCGTTTGTGTGACTTTCAAGCTGCAGGGTCTGGGGCTTGAACTACAGTAGGCCAAGTGGGAGTCCAGAGGCTTAAACTACCACACCATCTGCTGGCCCCTACATTTCTTTTCTTTTTTTTTTTCTTAAAGAATTATTTTATTTAACTTCATTATTTATTTATTTATTGGTTTTAATTTGACTAGTGAGAGACAGAGTGAGAGAGAGGGAAAGTGAGAAAGCAAGCTACCAGGTCTGGGACTTGAACCACGGTTGGCCATATGGGAGTCCAGGGCCCTAAACCACCATCCTACCTGCCGCCCCTTCCCCCCCTTTTTTGAGAGAGATTTTTGCTATAGGGTGGATGTATTTACCAGAGAGACAGAGAGACAAAAAGTGAGCAATCACTCCCTGGGGGAATGTCCATGCCACAGTCCCTTCTCCTCCATTCTCCTCTCAGGATTTTGGGCATGTACACACATACATGCCCAGTGTGAGTTTTAAGCTACTGGGTCCAGGACTCGAACCATGGTTGACTACCTGGGAATCCAGCGAGGCAACCATTACACCATCTGCTGGTCTCTATATTTATTTATTTTTAAAAATTTCTTCCATGAGTGTGTGTGTGTGTGTGTGTGTGTGTGTGTATGTGTGTATGAGAGAGAGAGAGAGAGAGACCCCTCCAACAAGGCTCTGACGCTAGAACCCACCTCCAATCTTAGGCAGAACCAAAACATGGACACATGGCATGACAGGCAGATTCAGGGAGAGGTCTGTACATGAACCCTGAATCTTCCCATCTGGGAAGCATTGGGTTTTATTGCTGTGCCACTCTCTGGCCCCAGTATCTTACATTTCCTTTTTTTTTTTTTGGAGAGGCTTTTGCTATAGGGTGCATGCTGTCACCAGACAGACCTAGAGAGAGAGACAGAAGACAGAAAGCGAGAAATCACCCCCCAGGGCGGATGGCCACACTGCAATCCCTTCTCCTCCATTCTCCTCTCGGGATCTTGGACACGCACACACACGTGCCTGGCATGAGTTTAAGCCACCGGGTCCGGGACTCAAACCGCAGTAGACTACATGGGAGTCCAGCGACATAGCCATTATGCTAACTGCTGGTCCCTTACATTTCTAAACACTTACTTCGGGAACATCTGTTGTGGCTGACTGTAGGCTGGCTAGCCAACAGGCATTTCCAACCCCTATCTCCCGGCACCAAGCACTTACTGTAAAGACAATAAAAGCAAATGCTTGCTTTTCTAGCCTCCCAGGTCCCTTGCAGCAGGGAATCACTAAGGGATGAGGTTCTAGCCCATAAGACATAAGTAGAACCTGCTAAGGGGGTTCCAGGAAAAACTTTGGGTTACCTCATAAAGAGTTACACATGTGGTAAGGTCATGTCTCCCCACCTCTTCTCTTTCTGTCTTGAATTGGGACAGAATAGCAAAAGTGATAGCAGCCATCTTATGGCCACAAGGAAAAGCCAAAAATATTACAGCAATGCTATCCCTGACATTACTGTGTCATAAATCCACTCACCTCCAGACTTACATAAGAAAATAAATCCCTATTTGCTTAAGTTACTATAAATAAGTTTTTTATTGCTGAATTAGTACACTGTCATTTTCCAATGAACTGGGAAGTGAAAGGCTTTTTCATTTTGAAAACAGTTTTGCTGTCACAATGCCTGTGGGGTATCATGGGCACTTACTGACCAAGAATGCTATACATCCTGCCATGGATGGGGCAGTCACACCCAGTTTAACAGCAGCATACACCATGGAAAGCTTCAGAACAGAGCATTCAGGTCATTTCTAATGGCCTTATTAATTGAGCTATCACCATATTTAATATCATTTTGACTATAGCCTGACACCATGAAGATAGTCCCAGGACTTAGAAAACATGGTCTGTATTCTATAGGACCTAATAATCTAATAATGAAGAAAAGACTGATAGATATACTGAACTCCCACATGGCTGATGGCAGTTTGAGTCCCAGACCTGGTAACTTGCTTTTTACTCTCCCTCTCTTTCTCTCTGGTCAAATTGAATTATAATAATAATAAATAAAATAATTAAAAAGATTGGGTAGAGGGGATAGCAGATAGTGTGGTGGTTAAGGTTAATGGGTAGAGGCAATAGCAGATAGTGTGGTGGTTAAGGTGCTAGACTTCCACATGGCCAACCATGGTTCAAGTCCTGGACCTGGTGCCTTGCTTTCTCACTGCTCCCAGCCCCCTCTGTATGTCTCTCTCTGGTGGGCGTGTGTGCTCTATAGAAAACTGAAAAATAATAAATAACATTAAATAAATAATTCCTTAAAAAAAAAGAAGGGTAGAATTTGGGGTCAACAGGTGGCGTGGTGGTTAAGGATGCTGGATATCCACGTGGCTGACCACAGTTCGAATTTAAGACCTGACGGCTTGCTTTCTCACTTTCCCCCTGCCCTCCCCGCTCTCTCTCTCTATTCCTCTCTGGTCAAATTATAATAAATAAATAAAGTTAAGTAAAATAACTCTTAGGAAAACAAAGAATGTGTAAATTTGGTGGGCAGAGGGTCAAGTGTGATCCGAGACATAAAATGGAAAGTACCTGTGTATCCAGGTTATAACAGATGGGTGAGTATAGTAGACCAGGGTCTGAAGCAGCAGAGTGAACCAAGAACGCACACACACACACTCACAGAGCGAGAGAGAGAGAGAGAGTGCGTGCCAAGGAGCAGCACTATAACGTAGTGCCCTAGACTCCAGAGACAAAACTTTATGAAGCTGGAACAGTAACACTGAAAGACTGGGATGTTCCCGGCTATGCCCTCAGGAGTTGTTTCTACAGAGTCAGGCCAAGGGGAGAGTCGGGCTGGAGGAGCAGATGCTGGAGTGGTGGCCATTCATTCTTTGTTGTGCAAAGCAGGAGAAAATTAAGATGGATGAAGAAAATAAAGTAGGAACTAAAGTTTCTCCTGACTCAAGGAAGGAAGCTGTCACTAGTTGTGCTTGTAAGCTAAGAAAAGGAACCAGAAGGGCCAGCAGAAGGTATGGAGGGTGAGGCAGCTGGATCCCACGTGTCTGACTGTGAGACTCAAGTCTTGGACCTGGTGGTTTAAAAAATATGCCAGCTGTGTGTGTGTGTGTGTGTGTGTGTGTGTGTGTGTGTGTGTGCGCACTCAAATTCTCAAGAAGAGAAAGAAACAAAAGGCACCACAGGATGGCCATGCCTGTGGGGAGTGTTACTGAAGATGCTCCGTGCTGTTCTGGAATCACAGAGCAAAAGCACAAGCGCAGAGGTTATCCAGATACGAGGAGGAGAGAGGTTTACCCGACACACTGTGATTAAACAAATTCCTCTCTGTGGGCATGATTTAAGGTTGTTGGTGAGAGAGGCTCCAGAGAAAAGCAAAGATAAAATAGAAAAAGTTGTGTAATACATGATTGAAAAGTCCTAAGTCAGAGAATTTTAGTAATTACAATTTATTGTTTACCTAAACGTTTACCTCAGTAATGAAAAAGCCTGCCTTCCGCTCCATTTTTCCCAAGCGTGACTTGAGGCCACACGGCAGGAAGAGTGGCTACTGAGTAACCACAGCACCCAGGGACTCGTGTAACTCATTTTTCCTACTAGATTTTTAGAGTGTAAGAATAGTGTTATCCATATTCAAACTGCACAAGAATTCATTCCCTTAGCTATGAAGTTAATAAATATATCCAATGACACCATAATTTCATTCCCATAGGCCACGGGGGTAACGTACCACTGGGTCGTACTCCCAAAGCTGGTTGCCTTTTAGGTGGTGGCATTTGAGCATGGTGACTGGGCCATTAAGTTTGGAAACATCCAAGCAAAGGTCGTCTGTCCTAATTTCTTTGTTGGCAGTGTACGAGAAAACCTGGAAGACCAAAATGCAAACATACAGGCTTCAATGGTAAAAAGCAACTAGTCAGTGTTTTAGATGTCCCCTAATCTGGCAGGAAAAACAAAATTTCATGAGTCATGCTTTTTACACTTTTCTAAAGTAACGGAGAATAAAAACTCAGAAAGCTTCCTCTAAATTAACACGGAGGAAAGCAGAATGCCAGTGAGTGCTCTGGGAACACTGAGTTTACCATCAAGAACTGTCATCCTAAAGGGCAAAACAAACAGTGTGTTTCAAAACGTAAACAGTCTCACAAGGGGCCTTTTATAAATGGTTCATTAAAAAAAAATCAAATGGAAGGCTCCTTTCACCTAAAGGATTTTATCTAAGGGCAGAAAAATATTGCTTAAATGTCAGGGGATTGAAAGGACAAAGTAAAAACAAATCTGAACATGGTCCTTTGAAATGTTTACTAAGATACTCACCTGATTACCTCCCATACCATGGCAATTAAAAATGCCGACTTTCTCGTTCTCTTTTCTAGCCATGTTATCTAGACACTGATTTGTTTCCACGTTTCGTATCTATAAGACAATAAATAATGGCGATGTCAGGAGTTACAGAGATTAATTAGACAAATGGACACACATACAGATACACTAAGACGGAGCCAAACAAAAGCAACCCAACTTTTGCCGGTACTACCCGCAATGACCTCGAACTCTCCAGGTTAAGGTTACGGACTGGGAGAAGGAGGGAGTCGCTGTGTGACTACCTATGTTCTATGGGCTAAAACGCTTTTATGAACTGTTTATGTCATTTCTGTGTTTAAGGGGAGAAATCCTTTACATTCTTATTTCATTTTTCCAAGTTGTTCCTTTAGAATTTGTATTTAGTTCAGTGAGTTCTACTTTGGATAATTTACCGCAATGTAACAGCTTAATACAAGGAAGTATTAACAACTTTCGGTAATTATACTATGAAGACATTTTAGGAGGCATAAGGTGGGTATGTTCTAGTCAAAGGTAGAACATTGGCTTAACTGGAAGCCTAAGCATGGTGCAGTGCGAATTCCACTTTTCCACTAGATACCTGCTAATTACGTCAATGGAATTTAAATCAGTCATCACAATTAGCAGGACTATTTCAAGGGATGCCCTGATACTGTTTCCTCTGAATTGTTACAATTTTAAAGCAGAGGGTAAGATTAATAGACATCTGAAAGTTTTAAATCTATTCCAATGGATTGTAATTAGTGATGTAACCACTCATCTGTCATGTCATGTAGACAGAAAAAAAAGAAAGTATATTAAAGTGGGAGTAAAAACAAAAGTGTAAGTCATTTATCTTTATAAATAAATATACAGTCTGCATATTATTTGAACATGTTACAAGTCTAGATTCATTTTCTTTATAAAGGCACAAGGGCAGAGGCATTAAAAAACTGTGTTCTTCCCAGGCAGCCAGAATAAGAACTGGGGTTTTGACATAAGAGAATCAGGTTCAAATTCAAGTTGTCCAAACACTCTGACATCAGTAACTGGGGATAATGCCAGCACAAGTTGGTCCACGGCACTGATAATCTGCCCTGTCCCCTTAACACCTCTACCCGATTATTCCACCAAAATATCAAGCTCAGTCCACTCAAGATAGGATTTTTCAATGTTTTTTACACTAATATTTCCTCATCCTAATATTTTAATGTGTCCTACCACCCAGGCCTGACCTTGAGAACTGCTACCTGAAACAAATTTTATTATCATTCCTCAAAAATTTTCTCCTATCTTCCTAATATCTCTATTTTTATTAGTAATCTCGCTACGTGTCCAATTATTAAAGGTGGATATCCTAGGGTCATTTTTTTTTTCTTTAATCTGGATCCAATACATTAAATTGATGTTCAGGAGTTCATCCTTTCACCACATAATTCACATCTTTTCTATCCATTATTTTACTTTGGAAACTTATTGCTTCATAGATACACTGCACAAAAAGGTTTCAGTAAAATACAGATTTGTATAAAGCACACCTTCCTACACTTCAGTGGGTGATCGATACTTGGTGATGACAGCTGTCTTACTTGAAAAACAATTTAGATCAGATTGTGACAAGTAGTTCGTATATTCATATAAAACAATCATTTCCTTGTTCTTCTGATAAAATACACAAACTCTCCAGTTCTGTTTCCCCTTCCAAATACAAATGTAGACATGGCTGAAGAAAAGTGGTAAAATGCCACAGGGGCTCCTATGGTGGTGTAGGGGTAACGTCACGCTCTGTGAGGACGACCCACATGAGCGGTTCTAGGTCCACCTAGAAGGTTGGAAAACCTCCCTTAATATGCAAGGCACGCATTTGCTTATGATCCTGGGCTGGTGTAGATGTGGATCACAGCATGAAGACTGCTGCGGTGCCCATGTTTCTGTCTCTCTCTCTTGCTCATGGAAGAGCAGTGTGGCCATCTCCTTTGGGGGTCCATTCTTACTTTCCTTCTCAATCTCTCTCTCCCTCTCTCCAGCAAGGTTGTATACAACAAAGCAAATCAAAAACAAAACAAACAAAACATAAGAATGACTAGAGTAGAAAAAATGTTATTTTTGGCTTCTTTTTCTCATATATGCAATATCCATTTGGTTAAATAATTACCTATCTTTTACCAAAAACAAATTTAAAAAGAAAAATTTTGGGCCAGTCCTGTAGCATAGCAGTTAAGTACTGTACAGGGAAGACTGGATCCCACATGGCTAACCATGGTTCGAATCCCACTTCAAGTGGCTTGAGTAACAGACACACGTGTCCCGAATCCTGATGGGTTTCTCTCTTTCTCTGGCTAGTGTACACACCCTCTGGCAATTAAAAAAATTGTTTCCACAAGTGCTGTCAGTAATAAATTATAGCCAAAAAGTCTGCTCAGTCTGTGCCAGGCACTGCTCCATGAAATTTGCATAGAGCAGCTTACTGCATCCTTACAAATTCCTATGACTAATTTCAGGTTGTTCTCTCACTTCAGATCTGAGCCTCTATTCCTTGGGGTTCTTACTGCTCACTAGATGTTGAAAGTGGAGTTTCTCTAGGGATTGGACACCACTGTATCCTATCGGCTAGTTGGGTGAGGAACAATGAACCTGCATCAACAAGATGAGATCAGTGAGGTCCAGCCAAGATGGGTGGTCAGGGCCTGAGTTGCGCCTCTGCTGGGACCAGGTGGTAGTCCTCTAAAGGGCACAGAGAGGTACCCATAGGTTAGACTGCTGTAAAAGGGAAACTAGTCATATCTTAGTTCCTGAGTGGGCTAGACAGAAGAGGGCAGAAAACACTCCTTGGGGCTTCTTTTAGCTAACAGAATGTCTGCTTCCCAGAGGAGTTCTCTTACACACTGGTCGCCTGGAGAAGATACAGTTTTAGGAAAATATTCTTCTTCTTTTCTTTGTAGGAATACATGTAGATTACCTCACCTATAAGATGCTTTCTCAAGAACATATAAACCAGGAAGACTAGAGATAAGTTTGGCAAACAATTTTGTCCTTTAGGGTTGAAGAAACAGAAGATCATCTAATGTGTTTATTTGGTGTGAGTTAAGTATGAAGAGCTTTTGAAGAAGGAAAATATTAGGAACAAACAAACATAATTTCTAGGGATGCTGAATCAAGTATCCAAAATTGTAATTCCATATAGTTTTAAGGCTATGTAACCAATTACTAAGTTTTTCTTTTTCTTTCTTTTTCAAAATATTTTTTTGCCATAGGGCATATGCGCGTGCTAGAGAGAGACAGAGAGAGAAAGTGAGAAATCATCCTCCAGAGAGGATAGCCATATCACAATCCCTTGTCCTCCATTCTCCTCTTGGGATCTGGGGCATGCAAGCACATATGCCCAGTGTGTTTTTCAAGCTGCCACATCCAGGACTTGAAATGTGAAGCTGGCCATATGGGATCCAGCACCCTAAACACTATGCCACCTGCTGACTCACTAAAATTACTAGTTTTCTTTCTTTCTTTCTTTCTTTCTCTCTCTCTCTCTCTCTTTCTTTCTTTCTTTCTTTCTTTCTTTCTTTCTTTCTTTCTTTCTTTTGTAGGGGTAACGTCACGCTCTGTGAGGACGACCCACATGAGCGGTTCTAGGTCCACCTAGAAGGTTGGAAAACCTCCCTTAATATGCAAGGCACGCATTTGCTTATGATCCTGGGCTGGTGTAGATGTGGATCACAGCATGAAGACTGCTGCGGTGCCCATGTTTCTGTCTCTCTCTCTTGCTCATGGAAGAGCAGTGTGGCCATCTCCTTTGGGGGTCCATTCTTACTTTCCTTCTCAATCTCTCTCTCCCTCTCTCCAGCAAGGTTGTATACAACAAAGCAAATCAAAAACAAAACAAACAAAACATAAGAATGACTAGAGTAGAAAAAATGTTATTTTTGGCTTCTTTTTCTCATATATGCAATATCCATTTGGTTAAATAATTACCTATCTTTTACCAAAAACAAATTTAAAAAGAAAAATTTTGGGCCAGTCCTGTAGCATAGCAGTTAAGTACTGTACAGGGAAGACTGGATCCCACATGGCTAACCATGGTTCGAATCCCACTTCAAGTGGCTTGAGTAACAGACACACGTGTCCCGAATCCTGATGGGTTTCTCTCTTTCTCTGGCTAGTGTACACACCCTCTGGCAATTAAAAAAATTGTTTCCACAAGTGCTGTCAGTAATAAATTATAGCCAAAAAGTCTGCTCAGTCTGTGCCAGGCACTGCTCCATGAAATTTGCATAGAGCAGCTTACTGCATCCTTACAAATTCCTATGACTAATTTCAGGTTGTTCTCTCACTTCAGATCTGAGCCTCTATTCCTTGGGGTTCTTACTGCTCACTAGATGTTGAAAGTGGAGTTTCTCTAGGGATTGGACACCCCTGTATCCTATCGGCTAGTTGGGTGAGGAACAATGAACCTGCATCAACAAGATGAGATCAGTGAGGTCCAGCCAAGATGGGTGGTCAGGGCCTGAGTTGCGCCTCTGCTGGGACCAGGTGGTAGTCCTCTAAAGGGCACAGAGAGGTACCCATAGGTTAGACTGCTGTAAAAGGGAAACTAGTCATATCTTAGTTCCTGAGTGGGCTAGACAGAAGAGGGCAGAAAACACTCCTTGGGGCTTCTTTTAGCTAACAGAATGTCTGCTTCCCAGAGGAGTTCTCTTACACACTGGTCGCCTGGAGAAGATACAGTTTTAGGAAAATATTCTTCTTCTTTTCTTTGTAGGAATACATGTAGATTACCTCACCTATAAGATGCTTTCTCAAGAACATATAAACCAGGAAGACTAGAGATAAGTTTGGCAAACAATTTTGTCCTTTAGGGTTGAAGAAACAGAAGATCATCTAATGTGTTTATTTGGTGTGAGTTAAGTATGAAGAGCTTTTGAAGAAGGAAAATATTAGGAACAAACAAACATAATTTCTAGGGATGCTGAATCAAGTATCCAAAATTGTAATTCCATATAGTTTTAAGGCTATGTAACCAATTACTAAGTTTTTCTTTTTCTTTCTTTTTCAAAATATTTTTTTGCCATAGGGCATATGCGCGTGCTAGAGAGAGA